TCGATTGGACAGAAGAATGTCAAAAAGCTTTTGTCTACTTGAAGGAGGCCTTAATTAACCCAAATATTTTGCAATATCCAGATTTCGATAAAGAATTTTGTATAACAACAGATGCTAGTGGATTTGCCTGCGGCGCAGTTCTTAGTCAAGAATATGAAGGCAAACAATTACCAATTGCCTATGCGTCAAGAGCATTCACAAAAGGTGAAAGCAATAAAGCTACAATTGAAAAAGAGTTAGCAGCAATCCACTGGGCTATCACTTATTTTAGACCATACGTTTATGGCAGAAAATTTTTGATTAAAACAGACCACCGCCGCTTAACATACTTATTTTCGATGAAAAACCCTACATCAAAATTAACTAGAGTTCGATTGGAATTGGAGGACAATAACTTTGAGGTGGAGTATATAGCTGGAAAAGAAAACTACGTGGCGGATGCGCTTTCACGCATCAATATAAATGATTTAAGAGAAATGTCAATTAAAGCATGTCAAATACTAAAAGTTGCGACGAGATCGGAAACTAAGCAAAAATCAAATAATAAAAATATTAATAAAGAAAAAAGTCACATTGAGAACCCAATAATATATGAAGCGCTAAATAAATGTGAAGTTAAAAAGCTAGCCCAGCTCGTTTTCGACCCCCCGAAACTGCAGTTCAAAAAGGGAAAGAAAATTTGTAGCAAAATAGACGAAGGTGCAAAATATTTGGTAGACCTGGGTAGCTGAATCAGTGACATCAGATATACGATACCTATAAACTGTCGGACTTCGGTCTCAGATACACAAAAATTATTGTTCGGATCTTTCTGTACCAAATAGAGGTTTGTCTCTTCCGAAATTTTCCTTATAAGTTCTGGTGGAATGGAATAGAATATAACGTATGGTAGACTACAGGCAACAAACCGTTTCGCCTTCCTAAATTCTTTTTGTAATTATTTGTACGTCTGGTCAAGCATTGTAGAATGTAGCCTACACTCCGTTCTTTCAATCAAATGCAAGCAAAACCAAGTATATGCCGTTACTTGTTTCAAACGACGCGATTTTGTTAGTGAAGTGAAAAATTGCAAACAGTCGACACGTGATTAAAGATAAAAAATAATACAAATTAGTTTTTACGTTTATTGGTGCTTATTTTTGTGAAAATCTATAAGGTAAGTGCTCAAAGTTTACTATATTATTATGTTTTTTTGATATAGTCTAGGTATTTTTGTATTAGGTGGTATTTAGCGTTTGTGTCTTGTAGGCTACATTATGCGGAAAAGGGAACTGTCTTGTATGAACACTGCCAACATTTATATAAGTTGTTATTTCGTTTTAGGATGGCTCACCGACTACGACGGCTGACAGACAAAGAGATAGCCTGTGCACTGCAAGATGATTCTGCAAGTGAAGATGGTCTCGACCTTGATGACGATAGTTTGGCTGACCCTGACTTTGACCCGGATTTAGGAGAGTTGAATGAAGAGTCTATGGGAGTCGAATTTAATATGGATGATTTAGTAGACTACTTAAACGATGACGACTATAACTCTAACCATGAGGTAGAAGTAGATCCGATAACGTCTAGTTCAGACATTCCAGGTACTTCAGGTCCTCCCGCTAAACGGCGAAAGCCTGAAAAGCTTACATTACTGTGGAAAAAAAAGAATCTGGAGCTGAATGCACAGCAGCTGGCTTTCACTGGCAACGTGTCATTGCGTTCTGATATATTGGAACTCGAGACTCCTATACAATTCTTTCTTTATCTATTTCCACCAGAACTTATAAGGAAAATTTCGGAAGAGACAAACCTCTATTTGGTACAGAAAGATCCGAACAATAATTTTTGTGTATCTGAGACCGAAGTCCGACAGTTTATAGGTATCGTATATCTGATGTCACTGATTCAGCTACCCAGGGTGACCAACCATTGGGGTTCCATTCTGGGTACAAATCTAATTCAACAGACCATGCCTTCTAATAAATTTAAAAAGATTAGACAATATCTACATTTCAATGACAACACAAAATGTCTTCCCAGGAGCCACCCTGACACTGATAGGATTTTCAAAATTCGTCCAGTCGTTGATGCTTTGAACGAAGCATACGCCAAAGTTCCACTAGAAACACGAGTTTGTGTAGATGAGCAAATGTGCTCTACAAAGGCGCGAAATATGCTGAAAAGATATAACCCCAAGAAACCTCATAAGTGGGGATACAAATTATTTGTTTTGAGTGGTGTTTCCGGTTTCGCTTATACGACAGAAGTTGAGACTGGTAAAGAGAATGTTGTCAAAGCCGACGAGCCAGACTTAGGAGCCTCTTCCAACGTCGTAGTGAGATTATCGCGTATGATTCCGCGACACCAAAACTACAGGATCTATTTCGATAACTACTTTACATCTTTGCCTCTTTTGGAATATTTAGCAAACGAAGGTATTCTTGGGCTAGGTACTATTAGAAGAAATAGAATTCCTGATTGCAAGCTGTCTACAGAGAAAGCGATAATGAAGAAAGATCGTGGATATTCGGAAGAATACGTATCTAATATTAACGGTGTCGACGTGTCAACGGTTGTATGGAAAGACAATAAACTGGTTACATTGGCTTCTACATTTGCTGGCCAAAATCCTATATCTGAAGTCCGAAGATACGACAAAAAGAACTCGAAGTATATTAACATTCCACGACCTCATGTAGTTGGCGAGTATAACCGACATATGGGCGGTGTAGACCTTGTCGACAGCATTATGGGCATCTACAAACTGCGGAGCAAACGTTGGCAGATGCGCCTGTTCTATCACTACTTAGACCTTACTATGGCTAACTCATGGCTACTCTATAAGAGGGTCTGCAAATATAAAAATCTTCCTGATAAGACTATCCTTGCGTCCGCAGATTTTCGCCTGGAAATTGCCGAAATTCTATGTAAGATGGGGACAAAAACAAGTTTGACAACACGCCGGTCTATAGAAGGTCAGCTTCTAGCGAAGAAACATAAGGGACCTGCCCAACATGTGCCTCCACAAGCAATCCGTCAGGATCAAGTCGGTCACTGGCCTCAATGGGCGGAAAAAAAAATCCGATGTAAACTCCCAAAGTGTGTTGGGTTCACTCACACAGTGTGTGAGAAGTGTGGCGTAGCTTTATGCTATACCAAAAACAAAAATTGTTTCAGGATCTTCCACCTGTCCTAAGCAATTTTCATTTTACTCTTAATTTTGCTTGTTTTTTGTATCACTGTTACTCATTGTTGCCTGTAAGCTACACTCCCTTTTATTGTAATAATATGCATAATAAATAAAAAGTTTCGAAATTAAATAATAATATGTTTATGTTTTATTCATAAATCTTACCGATTCCGGTAAAAATTTTTAATTTGAAGGTTTCGAGTTATAGAGGGTTAATGATTTAATTGTTGAGGCGAAGATTGATTCAGGTCAATCCTTTGCCAGGCTTTCAAAAGAAGCCGGCAATTCAAGTATTAATAATTCAATTGTTGAGGCGAATATTGATTTAGGTCAATTCTTTGCCAGGCTAATGAAAGAAGCCGACAGTTTGAAAATAAATAAAATACAGTTGTCCTTAGGAGACAAATTGTTCAAGAATAATTATACTCGAGTAAGCACATTTAAAGAAATTGGTACCAAAGTTCTCAAAAACTTAACAATTGCATTAACTCCGGAGGTTATGCATGTGACTGATAAAGATACAATTAACAAGTAAAAAAGTCTAAGTTCGGGCGGAGCCGAACATTAAATACCAGGCGCAGGTATTTAATATAAGTATTTTTCACCTTTCCGAAAGCTACCGCTACATGGTAAACCGAGGTGTATCCATTTTGAGTAAATTGGCGTCCTTAAATTTCGAAATATTGAAGTTTCAAGCATATCTGAAATTTACTGTTATATGAAAAGCGGCCGTAATTTTAGTTCGATTTCAATAAGTTTCAACGTTTTGCTTCTATGTGGCAAGTACAATAACCACACCGAGTTTGGTACAAATTGGTAGAACGGTTACCGAGATACATATAT